TGTGTGTGTGTGTGTATAGCCAAGGTTTAGAAATGACTAGCTCAGAAGTTTCTGTTGCATCCTTGCCTGGAAGTCAGCCATCACATGTCAGTTTCAGCATGTGATACACTAGTAATTCAGGCGTCTAAAAATCACTGTAGTGAAGGTAGTCATTGCAGTAGGCCACAGAAATGCTAGGAGGGATTAGTTCTGGAGAGAAATCGAACCCGAGATGAGTTCAGAAGATGCTTGATTTTGGCCTTGTTTATGTACCCATTGGGGAACAGGGCCTGTGAGTGTGGGAGGATAAGGCTATGTGGGGTTTGGCAAATGATGATATTGGCAAACCTGCAGGATTTGATACCTCACTGTCCTTTCCCACCTACACAAATATATCAGGTGTTATGGATGCGGCTTCCTGTATGCATTTCTAGCTTGCCAATCATCTTACCAGTATTGGGGCTTTCCTAGTTAAAGCCACCACCATCGTCTCTCAGCAGAAGGAATACTACCAGTGTCTTACACGTCCTCTCACATCCACTCATGTGCACCTCTTCAACTGCTCTTTATAGAACAGCCGAGGCTCTCTTCCTGAGGTACAGTGTGATGAGGCCATTCCTCTGATGAACTCTGAGCGACTTTCTATTTTCCTTAGGATGATCTGCCCAATTCCTTTGGGGGCTCCCTGCTTACCCTCCTTCGTCACTCTGATTCGGCAGCATGCATCTTTTCTTGTTTTTACATGTTGTATGTTTTAATTTATTTTTTCTACATTAAAAACAATTGTTCCTTGAAAATTTTATACATTTTGATTGTTCTCTCCCTACCCTTTCTTATTGCCCTGTCACCCACCCCCAATCCTTTTCCTAGATTCATGACTTTTTTTTTGTTTTGTGACTCATTTAGCTTAACCAGGGCCATGTGCGTGACCATTGGTTTGGAGCTATCCATTTGAGGCCAATGGGGTCACCACTGGGTACACAACTAAAGGCAGTGACTACCTCCCCAGGTCCCTGAATCTATTGGTAGTAAATAGTTCAGCCATGAGGGGTAGGCCTTCTGAGCCCCCTCCTCCATCCATGCCTGACTGTTGACGGGCCCATTTCTTCTGTAGTCCCAGTGTCGGTATCTGCAGCAGCTGTGAGTTTGTGATTATAATGACTGTGTCTTGCACGAAGATGACATTTTGCAATACTCCTGCCTGTCTTCTAGTCCTTGTGTTCTTTCTGCCCTCTCTCATGCATTGTTCCCTGGGCCTTAGAGGGAATGGTGCAATTGTCTTGTTTAGGGTTGAGTACCGCGTCACTTATTCTCAGCACCATGTGCAGTGCTAAGTCTCAGCATTCATCACTATTCACTGGAAAGAGAAGCTTCTCTGATTAAGGCTGGGAGTAGCCTTTACCTATGGATATAAACCATTTGATGCTGTGTCAGTTAGATAAACAACACTATTCTTTTCCTCCCTAGGGCCTCGGACCTTCCCTCCCCCACGGTTTTGATTAGATTTACAGCAGGGGCCATGGATTCCATCTTGTGGAATGGGCCACAAATCCTAGCAAAGAGTGGTTGGTTACCCCATAACAATAGTGCTTCTGTTGCTCAGGTGGGCACACCTTGCCTGGCAATTGAACCCCTGTAATTTGTAGGATTCACAGCTAGGTAAGATGGTTGATGCCTTTTCTCCCCCAGCAGCCTGCACAGCACCTTGAGGACTGTGGAAGCTGGCCAACAGGGAAGAAGTTGGAACCATTCCAGCTTTATATTTCCATATCACGCACCCCGGCTGTGGGGTGACAGGGCATCCTTAGTCCTTGCTTCTATTCAGTACAGTGCTTGAAGTCATAGCTAGAACAATAAGATAAGAAAAAGAAAAGGGATACAACCAAGAAAAGAAGCCAGAGTATCCCTGTTTGCAGGTGATATGATACTATACATACGAGACCCTAAAGATTCCACCAGAAAACTAGAACTAATGAACATTTTCAGCAAAGTGGCAGGATCCAAAATTAACATGCAAAAATCAGTAGCTTTTTTATATGTCAATGATAAACACACTGAGGAGGAAATCAGGGGGAAGAAATCTCATTTATAATAGCCTTAAAAAATCATTGTGTATCTAACCAAGGAAGTGAAGAACCTCTGCATTCATCTTCTTGGTAGTAACATACCCCCCCCAATCTCATGACCTTTATTTATGCTTTTTTGTGCCTTAGGACTGTGATCCCTTAAGTTTAGTGATTGCCATGGGATTTTGTGTTGAAAGGAGACTTCTGGACTCTGGTCCAGTATGTCTGAAGTGAGACTGAGAATTTGTATTTGATCATTTCCAGGTGATGCTGATGTACCTGCATGGGACCCACACTCTGAGAACCACTAAGCTAGGGTAGTCTTTTCTTCCTTAATTTCTAAGTGTCCCTCAGAGCTCAAGTCAAGTATCTGTCTTTCTGAGGCAGGTCTCTCTTGGTTCTCCTGGACTTGTAGCGGTTCCTGTTCCTATGCCAACATACAGCTTCTCCTTTGAAACCCTTAATGGCATTGTATCTGAACCTTTGTGTCCGTAGACATTTTAAATGACTGAATCCACTGCAAGGATCAGAAATCTGTGGACTATTTCTGTCGTATTTACTGCTGTTTCTATGCATTCCATGTGTATAACAAGCACCAAGTAATTCTTGGTTGAATGAATAATGTTGTTCCTTCTTTTTATAGGTATCTGAAAATATGTGGTAGCACAAATGGTTTCAGTGACTAAGGATAAGTGGGGACTGTGGATAGTAGAGAGATGCAGATAGAATAAGCTTATTTTGTTCATCGCGATGCAGAAACACGGAAGCAAGGCTTAGGATTTTTTTTTATCCCAGAGGAGTCTAAGCATATTGTCAGTGTTAGCATGTTCTCTCTCAGCTTTCTTTCTTTCGTTCATTCATACCCTCTCATGTTTTGTGAGTGGTTAATTACCTGTGTAATTTTTGCTTCTCATACATACACTGTTTTTTTTTGTTGTCACAGATATGGAATGTGCGGATGTCCCATTGTTAACTCCAAGCAGCAAAGAAATGATGTCCCAAGCATTGAAGGCTACTTTCAGTGGTTTCACAAAAGAACAGCAGCGACTGGGAATCCCAAAAGGTATACTTTTATAGTGGGAACAAGAGACACTGAGGCTAGATTCTCAGGGAAGGCTCCTTTGCTCTCCTGTAGTGAGACTGGCTTAGACAAACCACGCTGGAATCATCAGTGACAGGCTGTTGGAGATGTCTGTTAGAAAAGAGTATAGACACGGGTGCTGCAGTGCCACCCTCTCCCAGGCTTGTCAGTGCCATCTGGGTCTCCGGGCAGTGGTTCCCGACCAAGGAACTGCTGCGTGATTCTGTATGATTCTGTATGTGTGAATATCCACTGGATTTCTGAGAATTCCAGGATATTTTGTAAATTCCTCAGATGATTCCAACTTGTAGACAAGCTTGGGAAACTTTGTTTAAAGTCACTTCGAGCCACTGCAGATGAACCCAGGGGGCTGTGTTGCTTTGTATTTACTGATTACTCTTTTTTCTCTTCCATGTACTTTGGAAAATTGTGTTTGTGCTTTGGGTATCCTTATCTGAAAGGGTTTACTGAGGAATGGAAGGGGTCTGGAGTTGTCAAAAAGGCAAAGTGAGCCCAGAACACATCAGCGTCACCTAGGAACATTCCATGGACAGTCAAGTGCAAAAAGGCAGCTTTTCTATGGGGAAAGATAAAGGAAGGCTGTCTGTAGATCAGACGTGTTCTATCTAGACCCAAGCTTTAATTAGATGTTGTGAATGTATCTATACACTTTTTCCCATGTTTACAACTTTACCACAAACCTGGATGGACAGCAGTGCCAAGCATCTTTTGGAACAGAAGGTAGAGTAAAAGTAGCTTCTGAGCCCTTGGGTGTTCTAGCATCTCATGAAGTTGTCCTTTGGATTAAAGCATTAGTGATGTGGGCACTGTAACCTGGTATCATCTAAGTTCTTATAGTGTCATTGGCATGTATAACTCTATCAAACTTTAGGTCATGCACAAAGCTTATCTGCCATCTGTACTACAATACTACTTAAAACAAGGCCTATGGCATGTGCAGACTTTGCAGGGCATCTGGTCTAATACAGTCCCTAATGATGTCACTCGAATGACTTACTAATTGCTGTGATTATTACAAAGTCTAAGTGGCTAAGATAAAAATAATTGAGTATCATAATCTCAAGTGTATTGAAGGGTTGAGAGCAGACAGGCATGTGCAATTTGTGGAAAACACTTTGCATTGTTAGTATTGCTCTTAAAGAAGCCATATTCTCTTATTTGGGGCTTTTAACAAAATGTAATGGAAATTAGGGTGAGAGAGAAGATCCATGGAAATCTTCACCTGAGTAGAAGGCAGGGAATTACTTATCAGCTGACCACTGTTCCTCAGATCTGGCAAAATAAGTGAGTGGGGAGCTGAGGGTAGGGAGGGGGATATGGAGGAACTGGAGGAATTGTCATCACAGGATGCTGCTCCCTGGGTCTGTGAGTGGCTAGCATCCTCAGCTGCATTCAGTCCCTTCAGTGACTTCTCCCGAGCCTGACCTCCTGCATCCTTGTTTGGTTTCTCCTCAGACCCCCGGCAGTGGACGGAAACTCATGTTCGGGATTGGGTGATGTGGGCTGTAAATGAGTTCAGCCTGAAAGGTGTGGACTTCCAGAAGTTCTGTATGAATGGAGCAGCACTGTGTGCCCTGGGTAAAGACTGCTTCCTTGAGCTGGCTCCAGACTTTGTTGGAGACATCTTGTGGGAACATCTAGAGATCCTGCAGAAAGGTAAATGTGTGTTAACAGGGAGGTGGGGTTGTGTGGTGTTGCTGTAAGAGTAAATGAGAGATGCCCAGCAGTAGGATGCCCATGCTGTTGTCTGTGGGTGTTCAGTCGTGGCGTGAATGGTCTATGGGGGTGTGTCTGGTACAGAGCCTGGTGTATAACACGAGTTTGGCAGATGCTAGTTTCTTTTTCCTCTGTGAATTAAGAGTTCATATTTTAATTTTTAGAAAGATTGTACTTCCTTAGCCTCTTGATATGCAAAATTATGATTCAAGTTGTTTTCTTAGACCCATACACTATTTGAAAAAACAGTACCCACAGCCAAACCCTGGCCAGTTTTTTGTTTCGTTTTGGATTTGTTTTGTTTTGGTCTTTGCCTGGCAGTCTTAATACATGCCCCTTGATCTATGGTGTATAATATCTGGCCGCAGGAAAGCACAGCTTTTCTGAGCTTAGTAACAAGACAGGCTTCTCTGCCCACTTCTGAACTCCACTAACTGGAGTTGTAGTAGTGTAGAATACCTTTTACATCTGGAGCTGAAGCTGGGGTTATGTCAGGACATGATGTTGCAACCTTGTCATGACATGGCCTCCTCTACTGGCCTCTTCTAAGTGACTCATGTCCCACAGCTCTGGCTGAGTATAGAAACAGCAGCAGGCGGCAAACTTGGGTGTTTCTGCGCTTATTTTTCTGAATTTCTTCTTAAAATAAATTGCAGTTACCAGCAGTCAGCAGTGCCCTACAGCTGACTGTAAGCCTAGAAACCCGCTGCCCTCTCTAACCCAGGCCCACCCTTTCCTTGTGGTCACCGGCCCCAGCCCTAGGCACAGCCTCTGGGGGCAGGGCACAGAGCTCAGGATTAGCACTTGTATTTCATATAATACCTTTCTTTGTTGAAGAATATGTCCTGCTCTGCAATGCTGAAGAGAGACCCAGGTTCCATTCCTCTGGGCTCAGAAGTGTGATCTGTGTTCCTCTTCTTCGCCTTCTTGTTGAAAATGCTGAATGAACACAGTCAAGAACTAGGTGACTTCCTGTGGCTGCTCAGGACTGGGAAACAGCTTTAGTTTTTCCCAGAGCACTGACACATTCTTTGTGAAACAGCACCTGTGCCGGCCCCTAGGTGTTGATATGAGTGACCTGTTTATAAGAGGAAAAGACATGGTAGGCTCCTTGCAGAGCTGGTTTAACTGCTGGTTCTGAACCCAAAAGCAGCCTGCACCAGACCATGAAACCAAACATATTCTGCTAATATGGCATTTCTCTGAAATTGAATGATTTCTCAGGGGGAAGTTACCAGGAACTTAGGGGAGTCTCAGCCCACCACTGATCATAGTATATATGTCTCCTTGTTTTCGAAGTGCTGTAAAATACATTTTCTCTTTGGATTATCAAACTAAGCCTGTGAGTGAGATAGGAAGGGCAAGGTTCCTATTGTCTTTGTGAAATAAGCCTTAGGTTAGGAGATCGCCTCAGTTAGTGTGCACCTCCTTAAACTTTACTCAGCTTTGAAATATTTTTGCATTTAACTCTGTTTTTTATCTCTTTAAGTTTAGCTTTCCATTCTATGTTCTTTCTGTGATACTGTGGATTCATAAGGAACTTCTGGCTATAAGACAGGATTGAACTACATTTATGCAATGGAGTAATGTCAGTGAATTGAAGTGAGTTAGGGCATAATTGAGTATGTCCTGTCAGCCAAGCCAGTGTCCTATTGCAAGAGGTAAAAAAAACAAAAACAAAAACAAAACAAAAAAACCCAAACACCAGTCTTTCTTCAGATTCACGTATTTGAAGAGATGAGTGAGATGTTTGTATTTAGGACAACCTTGGTTCCATTCTGTAATTAAACCCGAGCAGCACAGAACCCAGAGAACATAGCTGTTTGGGGTGGAGTTGAAGGCCAAAGGTGCAGGGGATGTTTCAATCTGAGAAACTGCTCAAGCAAAGTTTAATCACTTTATCTCAGCTGTGAACTGTTTTTTTTTTTTTTTTTTTTTTTTTTTTTTTTTTTTTTTTTTTTTTTAAGCACAGGCATAAACTTGTTTTCCCATCAGCCTTTACTCTCAGCAGGCTATCAGATACCTGAGGAAAACCCCAAATCAACAGGCTTCCTTTATATCTGATTCTTACAGTGAAATACAGCCAGGCTCCATAAACAGTCAGTGGTGACCATATTTGATTTCAGGGCTACCAGAGGACCCTGTGCCCACCACGGCTTGCTAGAGAGGAGTTTTGCCCTTTCCTACCTTTTCTCTCTTTGCCTTTCTGGTTTCTATGGTACTGGTGTCTCAGCGGCAGTTTGGATATGGTGCTCATTTTCTTTACATAAGTCCTCAGTTCGCTGAGTGGCGTCACCTTACCCTTGTCTGGGCCTGAACTTGAATTCTGAGAATAGGAAAAACACAGACTAAAGCTAGAGACCTGTTAAATGTGGAGGCTATAAAGACCTCCCTGCCTAAAGACTGGAATGTGTTTCTGAAATATGCTTTAATTGATCAGTTTGAGTGTTGGGTGCTGATTGCAGTGATCCTGAGATGTCTTCAGACTCAAGCCTTCTGTTAGCATCTCTAAAGTAGACTAGCAAACTAATGTCACAAATATATCATGAATGAGGTCTGTTTTCCCAATCCTTCACGATTACTCACTGAGTCTCCTTCCAAGATATTAAATCCCATTTCACAGCTACTGAAATAATAAATGTAGCCATACTTTTATGATCTCATCCTGAGACATGGCCCCAGTCAGTCAGACTTAACTCAGTTAATGGGCTTGCAGAGTTCGTAGAAAAAAGGTTGAGATCACTGTGGTCCTTGCATCCAAGATCCTTGTAAGCCAATTGTTCCTGCATGTTGTCTTTATTTCATTCGTTACTGTGTCTGTTACAGAGGATGTGAAACCATATCAAGTTAATGGAGTCAACCCTACCTATCCAGAATCCCGTTATACCTCGGATTACTTCATCAGTAAGTGCCAGCTTCTTCTTCCATCTCTTGACTCCTTCTGGTGGGGAGCTAACTACATTCTATTTTTTGTTATTTTGTGACTTTTCACAAAGCACAAGGGTTCATCTTGTGTACACGCTTAACAGTCTGCAAGCTCCTACAACCGGGAAGTCATGTGAAAGTCTCAGGGAAGAATGCAGCTTGACCAAACTTTTGATCTTATTTGATTGTGTGTGATAGTGGCCTGAGAAGCTGGGTTAGGGATTTGATTTTGGTCCATGTGCTTTCCTTTTGTACTACTATTAGCAATGACATCATTTCCTCTGTAATCCTTCCGTAAGAGTGGTCCATGCAGCATCATATTCCATTACAGAAAATAAAGACATCTCTTTTTTTCTGGTGTAAGATGCCTTCCCGTACTGTAGGGGTGGCTGAAGGAGAAGAATGGTTTAGGGGTCTTCTGATGGCCCTGCTTTCTGAGGGAGTCTTATACTCCCCTCGAAAGGTTTGATGTCATTTTTATCTTTTTATGTATTAATGTTTTTATTTCAGTAGCAACAGTTACATTCACTCCTGTACACTCTCACTGGCTCATCACAATGCTCTGAAGAATCATCTCAATTTTACAAACGGGGAAGTTAAGCCAGAGAAAAAGAAAGTTATCTTATGAAGGGCTACAGTTAGTAAGTTGTGGATCAAAGTTAAACCCAAGCCCTTCTGACTTTCTTTTTACCCTTTAAGGCAGTCAGCTCATTCCACAGGGTGGGGCTGTGATAGATGGTAGTGAAAATTGTTTCTTGTAGCCACCAATTTCTCCTTTCTCCAATTGCAAACATTCTCTTTTCCAGGCTATGGTATCGAGCATGCTCAGTGTGTTCCTCCCTCTGAGTTCTCAGAACCCAGCTTCATCACGGAGTCCTATCAGACACTCCATCCCATCAGCTCAGAGGAGCTCTTGTCCCTCAAGTACGAGAACGACTACCCCTCTGTCATTCTCCGGGACCCTCTCCAGACAGACACCTTGCAGACAGACTACTTTGCCATCAAGCAAGAAGTTTTAACTCCAGACAACATGTGCATGGGGAGGACCAGTCGTGGTAGGTCAAATCTCTCAGATTTCTTGAGTTTATAAGAAATACCTCACTTTGAGTTTTTCAGGTCCCATTTTTCTCATATAATACTCCTATAAGTTCTTTAGTTTCAGCCTTCCCATCCTGAGTGTATATAGACATCAAGGCCCTTCTATCATGGATACTCACCCACATCTACCATGAAGGCAAAGCTCTTGAGGTCCTGGTGGAATAATCAAGTGTGTTATCTGAATAAAGTGGTTTGCCCACGTAATACCTCTAGTAGAATTTTTGAAAGGTACACTGTGTTTTCTTTGAGAGAATTTTACTTGAAAACACAGATCTCCTGAAATTCAGCATGTTCCCTGCTGTTCCTCCGAGAGTACTCCTGGGTCACACTCTAGGACGTGCTTTGGTACCTGGGGTGACCCTTGCTACTCAGCCTGGGACCTTAGCTGCTTGAAACTTCTTTGGTTTGGAAGATACAAGCTGGTTAACCAATGATTTATTTGGAACCAGTCATCAACAGTGTGGTAAAAGTGTGTATTTAGCTAGGGGACCAGGGAAAGAGGTAGCCAGAGGCTTCCAAAAGAAGGTACTCTTGTTGACATGGATATTATAATAATGATAAAACATTTGCTGGCAGTGAAGTCAGTGTTTCAAAATAGATCTGGCTGACATGGTGACAGAAGTAAAATACACCCAATGTTTAAGATCAGGACATAAACACTCAGAGGCATCGTCCGCCTAGTAGTGTGTTCAGATTGTTTTGTTCCTGAGAAAAAGTGCCGTCTGTTGTAAGGAGGGGTTGTTCATCCAGGAAGAGCAGGCTAGTTTCTGAAAAGCTAAAAATGCTGACCTTTCTGGTGTGTAGATGGAAAAGGATTATAAATAGGAAGAGGGGATTAGTGATTTCTGCTCAGTGAGTGACTCTCGGTGATACCTGTTCTGAGGCTCATGGAGGAGAGGCAGAAGTACCTTTACTTGGGACAATTACTTGGTTCATACACTTAAGTATTTAGGCTTATTCTTTCTCCCAGCGAGCCTTGGGATAGCCAACAGGCCTTGCACAGGGAAAGTCCCTGCAAAATCAGAACCCCGAATCGCCCTTCGTAGGGCCCTAGGGTGTTTGTGTTTCATACCAAGGGGAATGGGTGGGACCAGGTCTACCTTCCCCTTTCTGGCTGACTTTTATTTTTGGGTGCGTGTCTATTTAAATACATACACACAGTGTATGCATCTGTGCATTTCTTCTCAAGCAAGTCAAGGCATCAGAACCATTTTCTTTCTCATGGGGCTGTCTCTGTGTATATTTAAGGAGACTGACTTATGGGTTTGGGATTCAGCCATGTTGTAAATTTCAGTAGCTCTCTTATAATCATATTGTTTTACAATGGCAGATAGCTTTGCATTTGTGTAAATGTGTCTCTCCCCCTCCCCTTTTCTTGGTTCTTGGGTCCCTACCACTTCTCCAAACCCTATCGATAGAAACCCAAACTGACCCTTACCTAGGGACACAAGGTATTTCTCTCTGGCTCCACTGTCACTCATTACCAGGGTCAGGCCATAGACTTACGGGGAAGACCATTTTGTACAGGTCTACTTTCTTCATGTTAGAAGTGCTGTAAACATGAATGGCCCAGGGCCATTGAATCTGAGCTATGTGATTGGTCTAGACTGAAAGCATTACTGTTAGCTGCCTATTACTGATCATGCTATTCAGGTATGTGTTATAGTATACAGTATACAAAGTGCTTCTGTGTTCCACTTATTTGGACTCTAAGGCCTGTCTTTGTGAGAGTCTTTCCTGTAGGTTGCTATGGGGCTACCGATCTACTGTTCATAGTTTCTGTTCAGTGGACTCAATTAGCTTTGGAAGGACCTTGCTGAAGCATTTCTCAGAAAAAAAAAAAACAAAAAAAAAACAAAACAAAACCGGTCAGTGCTCATCTGGAGGGTGAGCTTCCTTACTTCCCTGGTTGAACCCAGTAGCAGAACCCAGTGTCTAATACTGTGGATTCAATCAACTTTTATTTTTGAGAAAAAAGGAAGGCTTCCAACTCTATGGTTATGAAATTGAGCTAAAATGAAAGATGCTTTCTCCTCTCAACCACAGTCTGAACTGAATAGCATCTGGAGAGGCTGCCAGAGTGGTGACACCTCGTTTAATGCCCTTGCTCAGTGAGGCTCTTTGGAAATTTAGCTCTCTTACTGGTAGATACTGATCTCCTGGCCCTCCGAATAGAAAAATGGCTGATAGAGATGAGAGTCATTCCAGGAGACCTGAGTGTTGCGAGCACCTACATCTTGATGGCTTGGTGGGTAGGGTATCCTTCATGAAAATGTAAATTCTTTCTTAAGCTCTTGGCGTATTTGTCTCACAGAGACATTGAATGACAGTTAACATCCATAGTTGGTGTGAGCAAGCTCCTCTTTGTGAGGTACTAGAAAGTTCTCTGCTCTGCTAAGAGCTATGGCATTCTGTATCAGCTGCTTTCCTGAGATACTCAATGTGGCTTTCCTTTTTAACAGTAATGAAGAAGTAGGAATGCAGGGGCTGGGCAGGCGAGGCCAAGGCTCTTCAAGCTCTTTGATTTGCCTCCTTGAGGGCACCATCTTTGAATGGATGAATGCAGGATGGAATGAGGTGAAGTGGATGATGCCCCCTTTCTCTCATGAACAACATTGGAGGGAGCAGGGGTACAGAATATCTGCAATAGTGACATTGTACCAGATATCCATCTTTGATTTGCAGTTACTATAATTTTTAAAAATTTTGAAAATGGTATTTTTTTTCTATGTATTTGACTTTGATTTGGGTACCTGCTTGTGTTCAAATTTTATTTCCCTAGTCAGTCCCCACTGTTGCAAAGGAGAGAGTGCACCAGAAATGCACCAATAGATATGCGGTTGTACCAAGCTGGCTTACTCTAGGATTTGAAATCTGTAGACCAGCCAGCCTTCAGCAATTGAGAATGGATCTGCAGGCATTTCTGCAGAAGAAGTTGCTGTGTCTTCGTGTTTTTCAGGCTTGTGTTGTGCTAGATCGAGGTGGCCATCACATCTCTTGAGATTTACCTCAGGTTGCCTGCAAAGTAGCTGAATGTGGAACATAAAAATATTCCCAAGAGCCTTTTTATATCTTTGGTGCATTTATTTTCCACCCCAATTTTTCTTATTAGCCTCTATTTTTTAATATTTTACTTATTATTTTTATTTTATGTGTATAAGTGTATTGTCTGAATATATGTGTGCGCACCTGTGTCATGCAGTGCCGCAGAGGTCAGAAGAGGGCTTCGGATTCTCCTGAAACTGGAGTTAAGGATGGTTGGTGGCCGCCATGTGGGTGCTGGGAATTGAACCTAGGTCAGAGCAGTCAGTGCTCTTAACCACTGAGCCATCTCTCCAGCCCCTTATTAGCCTCTATTTTAATGGCGTTTTTGCTGTTGGAAATTTCTCCAGGAGTGATTGCACAATCACAGCAGCTGTTTATAACCTGGCTTGGGAAATTAATGAACTTTCATGATCTTGTGGTCAGTGAAGAATGCCTTAAGCAACTGGCAGTGTAAAGGATTTCTGACCCTGGTGTGGACCTTAACTCTTTAGTCAACTTCTTCTGACTTTTTGCTGCCCATACTTCCCAAAGAAGTATGAATTTCCAGTACTAAATTGTACTTGGAAAGCATAAAGAATATGGCTTTCTACTTAAAAGAATGATAGTGAGATGTTGCTGTTAGTTTCTGTTTTACTCTCCTTGGAAGCATCCAATAACTTCTCTCTCTGTTTGAGAGGGCACAAAGGAAGAGCATAGTATTTAGGAGGAAATGTCAAAAAAGCCAGTACTCAGTTTGGAAGGCATGACTGCTCTTAGTCTAATGGAATCTTTTTTTAAAATGATCAAAATATTTTGCCAAATTGGGCCTTTTGAAATCATCTCAATGGCTAGAGTTGGAAAAAGAATTCAACCTTTGTTGCTTTGATTTTTTTTTTCCCCCCCATTAATCCATTAGTCTAATGGAGCATCCTGAAATCTCAGGACAAGTGCTACTTTCAGCTTTTACATTTCTGGCTTTAGAATTCTTGAGGTCCCAATACTGTCCTGCCCACACAGTGGTAGTGTCTGATTCCAGGTCTCTGTGCCAGACAGCAGAGTGGCATTGCTGAGATTGTGGCCAGGCCCAGACCCCTTCCCCAGTGTGGACTCATGGCCTTTGGGGCTTCCGTTCCCCTGGGCTCTCCCTTCCTCCACTTCTCCTGCAGATCTGATTAGCAATCTGTCCTCCATAAGAGGGTTTTTACAGCTGTTTTTTCCCAATCCCTCCTCCCTTCCTCTTCCTACTCCTCCTTTACCTCCAGGTAAACTCGGGGGACAGGACTCTTTTGAGAGCATAGAGAGCTACGATAGTTGTGACCGCCTCACCCAGTCCTGGAGCAGCCAGTCGTCTTTCAACAGCCTGCAGCGTGTTCCCTCCTATGACAGCTTCGACTCCGAGGATTATCCTGCTGCCCTGCCTAACCACAAGCCCAAGGGCACCTTCAAGGACTATGTGCGTGACCGTGCTGACCTCAACAAGGACAAGCCTGTCATTCCTGCTGCTGCCCTGGCTGGCTACACAGGTAGGCACCCTGCCGCTGTCTAAGTGGCTGTCTGCACGTTTCTGTGGGCTGTGTCAGTGGAAGGCACAATGCCATGTACCCAGAGACCCAAGGGCACACTTTCTTTTGTGAGGAGTGGGAGATGTTGCCAAAAGATACCCAGTCTTATAAGCCACTCTGCTTGAGAAATCCACTGATTTTTTTTTTTTTTGGAAACTAATAGCGCCATCTATCTCAGGGGTTCATTTCTAAGAGTGATAGAAAATTTAAATCTTGGATTTCTTCCATATCTGGGGGGAAGGGAGTCTTAATGATTGGGAGTTCCTGGAAACCCTGTTTACTGGTGGCCTGGCATTGAGGGACTTTGGCTGGCCTGTTTGAGGGAGATGTTTCCAAATACAAAACGAGAAACTGACTTTCTTGCAGGCAGCGCTAAATGACCTGCATGCTGAAGGGTTTTATAGTAGAGTTATGACTGGGCCACTGTTTGAATTGGGAAACAGTGTTCCAAGCCCTATCCATATCCATCCTGGCCTTGCATAGGAAAACACTTAAAAAAAAATCTTGGCTTTATAGTTTTCCTCCAGGCGTGAAAGCTCTAATTGATAGTGAGTGAACAAAGATCCCAGAGAATGGAAGAAGTCCAGTGAGCATGGGCTTCCATAGAGCAATCTGCTAACAGAGCAAGGCAGTTCACTGAGCACATGGGTGGCAGCACATAGGCTGCTTAACATGGGAACATTTAGAAGAGTTTATCTGAGAAAAATCTAAGGAACATTGATTAATAAACCTGTTAAGTGTCAGATCCTTTCTATAAGATTGCACTGTTTTCAAAGCTTAGAAAGTGTGTTGTAAGTAGAGCCTGGGTTAAACTTTGCTACTTGGATGTGGTCTAGCCTTTACCCTCTTCTAATGCCCTTCATCTGGACAAGTTATCAAGTGAAGGCTATGTGACTGAAGTCAAACAGCAGACTCTGTATTTCTGTTGACATACCTGTCTGGTCTTAAAAGTATGCTCAGGGAAGCTTTGGAATTTTTCTGAGGAAAATCAACTGATCTTTTAGAACAACATTTATATACTTAGAAAATTTACTCTGCATTCTAAGATCAAGAATATGTCCTTTATATTGCATTCTACAAATACCTGAGCGTAGTGATCTCATGAACAGTGCCCAGGAAATAAATCTACGTTTTGGAGTGGTACCAAGGACCTAGTATGTAGAGTCATGAACCAGCAGGCAGACTTGAAGATCTTTATTCTTTCTGAAATATCCCTGTGATCTTTGAATGTGATTAATAAAGTGGGAAGCTCATACACTTAAGGGGATCTTTTCTCATAGCTGGACAGCAGAATATCGGAAAGTTTACCCATTTTCATTAAAGACATCTGAGATGAGTGAAGGTACAGGAAGTCCTCTAAGGTATAAAAGAGTTTCTGACCCTGGAATTGGGACTAGACGCCCTCCAGCTGAATGCCCTGATAAAGTGGGGAGGGGAGAAGGGCTGCTTAATAGGGAAGAGAAAGAATAGGCCAGGGTAATGTTAAAATGATTGACAGCTCTCTTGTCTGGATATTGCTTAATACGTTCTTGGCCTCCCTACCTTCCTCCCTCCTTCTCTCCTCCATTTCCACCTGGGATAAGGGAGTAAAACAGTCAGTGGGTGGAAGAGGTGTGAGAATGATCATTGCCTAGAGATTTCAAAGACTAAGTCATTTGAATTGAGAAACATTTTAAAGCATCTCCTCACTTAGTTTCTGTTTCTTTATAATTTTATAATTAGGGATTTAGCTTTTTTGTTTTTGTTTTTGGTCTTTTTGAGATAGGGTCTCCCTGTATCTCCAGCTGGCCTGGAAGTACTATGTAGTCCAAGCTGGCCTTTAACTCACAGAGATCCACCTGCCTCTGCCTCCCATGTGCTGGGATTAAAGGTGTATGTCACTATGCCCAGTGGGATTTAGCTTTTAAGACTCTCAAATAATGAAAACAAGAGCCCAGAAAACAGAAGTCCTCTGAGTTCCCTCCCAGCTCTAACACACTGTGTGATTTTAGGCAAATTTACCTTGTACCTTTTTTCTACTTTTAGTGAAGTAGAAGTATTCATCCTTATCTTGCTGGGTGTGAAAATGCAGTTAAGCTAAATCAATTAAACAAATGAGTGCTAGACATTGTGCTAGACATGGGAAAAAGCCCCAATTGTAACACGTTGATTATTTCAGCAAATGAGCAGAGACTGAGTGTGGATAGAACCCTGCAAGGTGGCTGTCTTGTGGAATTTATTCTGTGCCCTTAGGTTTGAACTAGACTCTCCTATGGCTGTGGGCTGAGTGAAGGTTGGAATTTGTTAGGTGTGTGAGAGCAGCCCAAATTTTGGTGACTTTTCCCACATGCTCTGTGTCTGGTGAACGATCCTGCCTGTACTGCAGACTGGTCCTATGTGGTGGTTTCCTGTGGCCTCATGACCTCCTATCATTCCATATCCAGGAATGGAGAAGAGGATAGAACACAGCCATCCTGCCCTGCCTCCCACCTGAGTTGTCAGTAGAGTGCATACAAATGGGTGTCTAGCTTTTGCAGAAGTCCTTTGAAAAGTGGAAATCATTGTATAACTGTTGGTAATACTTTTGTTCATAAGAATCGCACCTATTTTCCATCTCTGGTCCTGTTCTTGTTTTCTGTCCTCCTAAACTTTAGTTGCTGCAGAGTATATATGACTTCGCGGTAGGGACACCTATACGTTTGCACCATGGACTGCTTGGCTTCTATTAAATGTGTGTGTTTAGATGCTCTGATCTGGGAAGAGGATGTGCCTTCTTGCCTTTGGAGTAGGGGCTGAGGTTTCTGTCCATATAGCCTCCACAGGAATACCATGTTCCTTTTTCCTATGATATCTTAGTTAACTGCACTGTAAGTGTGGCAATCAGTTAGAAACCGAATGAATTTTCACATTCTCTTGCACAGTTACATTCTTCCTCCAAAGATAAGAAAATTACATCAACCTTCTCTGGGCTCCCATGGCAACTTGTTAAATTAGGTCGAGATGTGGGGGCAGATAAACCGACTTGAAAGCCTCCTGTTAGCCGAGTGAAGAACACATCAAATGCAATGCTGGCTTCCGCCAAAATGTACCTCCTTACCTTACTGCTTATGACTATCAAACTGACACAATCAGAAAACTCCATTTTCTTCTGTTCAAAGACACATTCTGAACCCTTGTAATTAGAACAGAGTTGGAGAGGAGTAGCACACTGCTTTCTATATTTCTTGTAGGCCTCAGGAAAATGCTGAGCACCCAGTCTGCTCACTTGCTGAAATAAACAATTTGTTATGATTAAGGGTTACTTTCCCCTATGCTTAGCACAACATCTAGAACAATATACTTGATTATCAAATAGTAGTCTTCCTCTTTGTCTTCCAGCCCTATTTTAGAGATGATGAAACTGAGGCACAAAGAACATGCTTTGTTCTATAAGAAGGTAGCATCGAAATGAACTTTAAGTGCTGCATGACTCCATTGAATGTACCACTGGCTCTCCATGTTAAGAAATAGGAGCACTCTTTGGGTATCTCCATGGCATCCACAGAGGGATTAAAGCTCATTTGGCCTCTTGTCACTAATTAACGCCTACCTCATACATGTGGCTGAGGCCATGGGGGAGGGGTGCAGCTGGCCTTTGACTTGAGTCAGAGTTCCTGGCCTGTGAATCACCTTTATTGAACTTCATTCTGTATTCCTAGTCACAGCTAAAGATAAAGGTCTATTCCTAGTCCTGCTGTACTTGATAATCAGATGATCTGGTGTTAATCTATGTCTATGAATATCCTCACTCACTGAGTTGCAATTATAAGGGAAGTGGGTCTTTTTTCACTAGGAGTCTGAAAAAGGCTAAGCCCCAAATCATTCAATAATGATAACAAAAGTGTGCTTTATAATGTATAGATTTTTAAGTAGTCTCTCGGTCCTTAAGGCTAAATTTAGGACTCTATGGATCTCAATGTCTAAATATTTCTCTCTCTCAGTGTGTGTGTGTGTGTGTGTGTGTGTGTGTGTGTGTTCTGCACTGGTCGTGAGGCAGAGCATCATGGCCTACGGGTGTGGCGCAGGAGTGGAGCAGAATGGGCAAGAGGGAGAATGAGTGTGTGTGTGTGTGTGTGTGTGTGTGTGTGTGGGTGAGAGAGAGAGAGAGAGAGAGAGAGAGAGAGAGAGACCAGACTTACAGAAAAAGCAGCCCAGATGTCCCCTGTGGGTCTCCTCAAACTGATTTTGGTTTGAGTGAATCCTCTTCTTGCCATTCAGTAGGTCAGGGTCAGTCTAAAGTCGCACAATAAGAATGTCCCCAGCCTAAGCCCAGATCCCCTGCATTTGGCTTGTAATTGAGTTTTAGGGTTCACCAACCCAAAGCTTCATGTTTAAAAATGTGTTTGAGAAAAGAAATAACTTGACCACAAAAGGAAGTCCTGCCAACATCTCAGTTCAGGACCCCGCCTGCGATTTTGGCATATTACCTATACTCACAGTTTTCTCAAGAAAACTGAGTTGCAAAATAATCTGCACTTACTCTACACAAAATGGTGACGGTGATGGGGGAAGTTCTTGTATGAGCCTAAGTTGGGATAAGGAAAAGGGAGGCTAAGTTAGTAATATAGCATGTGTATGTACAGATTTCAAATATTGCAAACAGGAATATTTTCAGTAGGAAACCTAGAGAGCTTTTTAACATGTTCCCTGACCTGGGCTTTCTCCATGTAAATGTTCATGGGCTAGACAGTGAGAGATGAATAGCATTAAGATAGACCAACTTGTCAGCATGGGAAGAGACTCTGGTGCCTACTTTGAGCAGGAGCTGTTTTTCCAGAGGCCCGGATGCCAGGTAGTAACTTCCCTGAGCTCCTTGGGTCTAGCAAAGCTGGGGTTAGGTTATGGGCTTGCTAAAGCCAGCACAGTGTGAGTGTAGTGTCCTTGGCCAGTGCCCAGATAGGGAAGAGGAAGAAGTTCAGGAACAAGAAGGGCAGAGACCGTCT